CCCTCCTCCTGCTCCTCTCGCCCCCTTGGCCTCCTCCTCCCCCTCCTCCTCCTCCTCCTCCTCCTCCTCCTCCTCCTCCTCCTCCTCCTCCTCCTCCTCCCCCTCGTCTTCTCCTCCTCTCGCCCCCTCGGCCAAGAGAGGTCACGAGAACCTTCTGCGGACTCGAAAGGGCCTTCCCCGGTCAAAGGGGCCCCTCGAAGGCCACGATCGGCCTCGAAGGACGCCTCAGGCGGGAAGCCAGCCTCCGCGGTGGCCCGCTGGGCTTCCTCTTCCTGTGATTTCGCCACCACGCCGTGGTGATCAGAGCATTCCTCGCCGCCCTGGAGGGGAAGGGATCTTTGCCGAGACCGCTGCTGGTCCTGGGGAGCCCTCGTCGCCGCTGCATTCTCCTCGATGCCGTTGCCACAACCAACAGCGCGCCCAGAGAGGTCCAGTGATGACGTGGCGGCGTCGGCACCTTGTGGTTACCCGATGGCCCGCTTGCCGCGTGTCCGCCTTCCGCTCCTTCCACGCGTCCTCGCCGCCTTGGCGGTCATCCTCTGCCTGTCGTGGGGCCGTGGCCCAGACATGCTGGCGCCGTGAGCCAAGCTCGCGGCGGGAGGCGTTCGCTGGCAGTTTTCGGGCCGCCGGGGGGCCCGCGCCGAGCCCCGCAACCGTCAACAAACGAGTCGGGATGACACATCGGCCTTGAGGAGAAGGGGCCAGGACTTCCAGGGGGCCCGTAGGGGAAACACATTACATCGTAAGTCTGGGGTTGCGCAGCCTGTGCACAGCCGCGCGGTGTCCTGACGAAGCAATCATGGGTCCCGCTGATGAGGTGTCTGCCACGGCTCGAGGCCGATGCGCAGCCGCCACTTCCTCTGACGCCCGTGCGCCTTCTGACCCAGAATTGTGCTCGCTCAGGCTATCCGCGCCCTCAGACATGCGCGTGCGCGATAGCTCGCCAATTCCTCAGGTGGCTAGAATGGAGCGCCCGAGCGCTAGTTTTCAGCTCAACAGCTGAGCTCCTTCTCGTCCCTCCTCGTTTTCCTGCCTGCGAATCGAACAGGAAACAGTCGACCATACACGTGTCCTTTGGGAGCTCCGCGCTGGGTCCCTGGGATCCGTGCTGCCACCCCCCTTGGCGCTGCCCCTGGCGCTGCCCCTGGCGCGCTCCGCGCGCCAGGAGGCTCAGACCTGATCCAAGAAGTCTGCGCGGACCTAATGAGGAAAGGTTATGGTTGCGCTGCTCCTCTTGTTCCAGCTCTCCTCCTCCTCCTGCTCCCCCTCCCCCTCCTCCTCCTCCTCCTCCTCCTCTTCCTCCTCCTCCTCCTCCTCCTCCTCCTCCTCCTCCTCCTCCTCCTCCTCCTCCTCCTCCCCCTCCTCCCCTGTACCTCCTCCTCCTTCTCCGCCCCCTCATAGCTGATAGCTGATGGCATGATAGTTCGTCGAACGTTGCCACTGGTCCCTGCCTGCGGGTGCAGTATGGCCTTGAACGGCTGGTACCACTCCGAAGGTGGGCCGCTGGCGCCCGGCGGCGGGCCACGGCGGCGCGGGGGCAGACGAAGGCAGGGAGGCGAGGGGCCGAAAGGGGGAGGACGAAAGGGGCCCGAGCTGACGCACGAAGGAGGAGGGGCGGGAGGAGGGCGAACGGGGGCCCTCCCCAACACACACGGAGAGGCAGACAGAGCCCCCCCGGAAGATGGAGGGGAGGGAGAGGAGGGGGGGCGAGGACGGCAGGGGCAGGGGGACGAGAAGGGGCGGCAGTGGGGTCTGTCTGTCCGTGGACGTAGTGGCCCTTGGTAGTGGGCGCGCGACGCGCCGCGGGCCCTCCAACTCCTCCAACACTCCTCCGGACCACCACCACCCTCCGCTCCCCTTGGGAGTTGCAGCCGCGGGCCGAGGCGGGCCTAGCGCAACCCCCCCCCCCCCCCCTCCCCCCCCAGGGCCGCCAATCCCCTCCCCTTGTGGGAGGGCGGCACACTCACCCTGGTGGGGGCGACGACGATGCGGCCGCAGGAGGACGGGTGATCATCCGAGCCGTCGGGCCTGAAGGAGGGCTCGCGGTCGTCCCAGCCGTGGAGGCCGTAGTAGAACTGGTCGTCGTCCCAGCCGTGGGGCCGAAGAAGGTGGTGGTGGTTTGGCAGCTGCCGGGCAGGCCGCGCAGCCAGGTGGGCCACCGCAGGTCACTGGAGCTACCAGGGTTTTGGTGCTTAGGCTTAGTAGTCGTCCCTAGGAGCCGCGAGGCGCGCTGGCCAGGGGGCGAAGGTGTGGGCAAGCCATCTGATGGTGACTGGCACTTCGTCGAATCGTACCACCATGGCGCGCCGCAAGGGTCGTGGTGGGTCTGAGGGCGGGCGTGCTGCTGCAGAAGCGGTCGCCGCAGAGGTGGAAGATTTACCAGCCTGGGCCATATCCCTATCCCTATGCTGGGCACCTCATCATCACGATGCCAATCTTAGGGATTCCCTTATTTTTGAGGGCGAATCCCTAAGATTGTCATCGCCTTTTGGCGTGTCAATCTTAGAGATACGGAGACGCTCGAGGCTGGTAAAAGATGAGGCCGCGGAAGAGCCCGATACCGATGCCGTCATTGATGCTGGAGCGACGGGCGTAACCGTGTGGGCGGCGGCAAGCCGTGTACGCAACCGTGCTGGCGCAGGTATAGGTAGAAGCCGTGTGGACGGCGTGGCATAGGCGGGGGGGGAGCGGCGTGTCTCGACAGTGACCTCTCTTCGGCACGACGAAGCTTTGGCATGGACCGGTCGTGCAGGCCGTGTTGACGGAGTTGTGGCAGGGCGCGGTGACGCAGGTGGTGGCGGTGGCCCATGACGAGGGCGCGGGTCAGGAGCCAGAATTTGATGTGCATTTTCTTGATAGGGCTCGGTGACGCAGGTGGTGGTAGAGCTCGGTGTCGCAGAGTGTGTAGGTGATGCAGACGATGGTCCTCTTCCTCCTCCTCCTCCTCCGCGCCGTCGAGCCACTGAGAACAAAAGAAACCTTGAACCGTAACAGCACGATGAAGACGTGACCTCACTTAGGTCCGCGTGTTCGCATGAGGGGTAGTACATCTGGGCCGTTCGGCCTGCTACGTCTGCAGGACTGACCCCCCTATCCCTACTGTTTTTGGGCCCTCCCACCTCGGGTCCCCTCCCAAAAGTCCAGGGGGTACCTTTCTTGCTTGTCATGGGAGCGCATCCGATGCCGCCTGAGCCAGGCGGTCCCTCTCCGGGTGGGCGACGCCGGCCCGCCAGGCAGGGGGCCTGACGCCGTCGGAAGCCGTCTCGGGGGCCTCTCTGGGCCGACTTGGGGCCGACTTGGAGTTCTCCAGGCCCGTCTTGGAGGCCATCTTGGGTCGTCTTGAAGGCCTCTCGGGACGTCTTGGAGGCCGACTTGGGGCCGACTTGGAGCGCTCCAGGCCCGTCTTGGAGGCCATCTTGGGGCGTCTTGGAGGCCTCTTGGGACGTCTCGGGGCCCTCTCGGGGCCGTCTCGGGGGCCTCTTGAGGGAGCGGCGCCCGCTCGCTGGCACAGCGCCCGTGCCAAGAAGTGCCAGGCTTGCCTCCACGGTGCCCTGGGTTTTTCCTGGGTTTCGATGGCTTTGCCATGAACCGACAGCGTGATGTTCCCACACTAAGGACCAATGGACGTCCTAGGGTCTCAGGGTTGGGTTTCTTGTGGAAGGTTTTTTGTCGAGCTCCTACTCTACCTCCTGCCGCTTGCCCTCATAGCCGCTGTTGGCTGTTGGCCTGGTCGAACACACGGCGCAGGACGTAGGTCTGGACGTCGGGCTGGTCGGAGCCGATGCAACCGGGCCGGTTGAAGCCGATGCGGGCAGTGGCATTCAGCAACGGGTCGATGAAATTGGGCACGATGATGTCCGAGATGAGGTTAAGCACGAATTCTGCCGCATGTGGGTTGAGCTCGCCAGCTTGCTCGACCTCGGTGTTTGTGGCGTCGTCGACAGATTATGATACTGCCGCTGTGGTCACGCCAGTCATTGTGCCGGTCATGGTTATGCCAGACATTGTGCCAGTCATGGGCGCACCAGTTATGGTACCAGTCAGTGTGCCAGTAATGGTCGCGCCAGTCGTTGTGCTATTTCTGGTCATTGTGCCAGTAGCGGTCATGCAATTCCTTGTGCCAGCCATGGTGATTGTGCATTCTTGGTCACGCTGCTTGCCACGCAGCGCATGCTCGTTGGCGTTCTGCTTGAAGCTGGTGGCATCGCATATGTGGTCGCTGAGGCCGGCGCTGTGGTACGCCTCATGTTGCTTAACACGCAGTCTTCTTCGGGTGTTCTCCGTGTTGACGCTGGTCTGGGTGAGCAGCATCAGGTCCATGATCGTGATGTTGCCCCCGCTTCTGGCAGAATTTGCCAGGTGCCACCACGCGGCGCCGCGGTCTCCAATTTTCCTCGAGCTTGGGTGGAAATCTTGTTAGCTCGTCATCTTGGCGATGGTGAGCTCGTGTTTCTTGGCCCTTGTATCGAGGCTGGCTGCCATGGCGCGGCCGGCGCACGTGCCACTGCCCGCCACTGCAGGTAGCGGCTTCCGCCCCCTCCTCCTCCTCCTCCTCCTCCTCCTCCTCCTCCTGCTCCTCCTCCTCCTCCTCCGCCTCTTCCTCATCATCCTCCTCTTCCTCATCCTATTCCTCCTCTTCCTCCTCCTCTTCCTTCTCATCTTCCTCCTCCTCCTCCTCCTCCCTCCCCCTTGTTCTGCCCATTATCCTCCCCCTCCTCCTCCTCTATCTCCTCCTCCTCCTCCTTCTCTGCCTCTGCCTCTGCCTCTGCCTCTGCCTGAGCCTCCTCCTCCTGCTCCTCCTGCCCCCCCTCCTCCCCCGACTCCTCCTCCGCATCCCCTCCTCCTCCTACCCCTCGGTCTGCTCCTCCTCCTCCTCCTCCTCCTCCTCCTCCTCCTCCTCCTCCTCCTCCTCCTCCTCCTCCTCCTCCTCCTCCTCCTCCTCCTCCTCCTCCCCCCCTCTCCACTGCTATCGTCCGCGTTCCCCACCCCCTCCCCCGCAGGTATATAGGTGCGCCAGGGAGCTGTGGCCACTGGACCCCGCCGAGGCCACCGCCCGTCGTTGTCGGAGGAGGGAGTGGGGAGGAGTAGTCCTCCTCTCCCCCATTTTGCTAGTCGAGGTTCGGGCCTCCGGGGACCCTTCCCAGCCCCCTCCTCCCTCGTTATCCCTCCCTTCCCTGGCTCCTCTCCTGCGCGCGGGGGGGCGCGCCGGAGATGAAGGAGCGAGGGAAGGAGGGAGCATGGAGCAGGGGTGGAATGGGGACAGTGATGGAGCGATGGAGGAGGGAGGAAGGGGGGAAGGGGGAGGAGGGACGGGGGAAAGTGGGAGGGGGGAGGGGGGGGGCGGGAGGAAGCAGGGGAATGGCGGAGGGGGGACAAGGGAAGAGAATGGAGTGGAGGGGGGGGAAGGGGAGGAGGAGGGAGGTCGGGAGGAGGGAGGACAAGTGTTTTGTCAATGACACAGCAGCTGCCCTGAGGAGCACCGTGGCGAAAGAGACCCCTGAGGCAGAACGAGGGAGGGAGACAGCCAAAGATGAAGGGAGGGACGGCAGGCATCGAGGGAGAGCGAGCGAGAGAGGGGGGAGGGATGGCGGAAGGGGCGAGGGAGGGAGGGTGGGGAAGGGGAGCGAGGGGCAAGGACGGGACAGACCAGGGGAGGGAAGACTTGTGCCCCCAGACATCCACCAGCGCCCGTTTCGAGGCGTGCGCACAGGCCCCCGGGGCGTCGAGCAGGTCCCGCGCCCGGAGCGGGCCCGGGCCCCGGCAGGGTGGGGCCGAGCCCGCCGGCAGAGGCGCACGTGAACGTGATCGTCCGCGTCGACGTGATCAAGTCGCTGAGCACGAGGGACATCCTCGAGGCCGCCCGCCGGGCCTCCTCCACTCGGAGGTCGGTGCAGCGGGGGGTCGGCCAGAGCGCCGGGTCCGGCAGGATCCTGCAGAGCCAGGGGCTGCAGTGGCCAGCGGCCAGCGGGCGCGGGATGCTGCAGGAGTTAGCAGGATCCTGCAAGGCCTGACTGACCCGTGTTCGCACTGACCCGGGTCAGTGCCTCCCCCATCCGAATCCTCCTCCACCCCCTTGTCCTCCTCCGCCCTCCGCGTCCTCCTCCTCCTCCTCCTTCTCCTTTTTCTCCTCCCTCTCTTCCTCGTCCCTCCTTCAGAGAGTGGAAGGTTTCTGTCTTAGGTTTGTTGGCCCTCGCTGGCAGTTCGAGAACACCTGAGGGCTGGATTCCGTAGCCACTGGCTCGGGCAGGGTTTTCGGGGGGGGGGGGGAGCTCGCGCACGCATGTGTTCCCTAGCGATCTTCTGTGGCGCCTGCGTCGTCGGAACCGAAATCGATCCGTACGTGGCAGTGGAAATGGCGATACCGCGGGTCCTTAGCAGGGCAGAGCATTGGAGGATGTTGCGGAGTCCCTTCAGGAGCGCAGCGCAATTGTCACATGCTCCTAAGCTTTGCGAGGATGCCCAAAGCAAACATGTATATTCTCAGATCTCGGAAAGCATGGCACTGGGAACAACAAGTACGGTGGTGAGTCGGCGATGATGATGTTGTTGATGATGAATGTGATGGTGATGGTGATGATGATGGTAGTGACGATGATGGTGATAGTGATGATGACGGCGATGATGATGGTGTATTTGGTGATGGCCACCATCATGATGATGGTGATGATGATTATGATGATGATGATGATGCTGATGATGATGATGATGAGAGTGTCGACGGGGGTCCCGCAACCGCGCGTCGAATGCTTCACCGGACCTCTGCGCAATGGCGCAGCATTGGCACAATCACTGTTTTGCTAAGCCTGAGTTGCGCGGTACCCCGCTATACAATCTTGAATAGAAAGAGTACTGGTGCGAACCTTGTGCGGAGGCCTACTGTGGGGAACACTATGCTCCTTGTGCGGGGCTCGTTTGAATGCCCTTGGGATTGGATCCGAGTGCGCGTGCTTGTGCGGGGGAAGGAAGAGGAGGAACACACACACAGGGCAAACACGGCCCTTCTACACAAGACGTTTTGTGCGCCTTGTGTGGCGGAGCTCTTCGCTCCAGCACTCCTTTGGTAATTAGTTGTAGTGAATATACATTGGGAGCGGTCCCAGGTTCTCGCAATCCCATGCCCGACCGCACCGGTCTTTTTACTAGCTGTCTACGGGGTACGGGGGTTGGGTGTAATGCGCGGGAAGATCTTCCAGAAATTGATTCTCTTTGCGCCCACAAATTTCAAACTGAATACGACAATGGCTGGCCAGCCGCTTTCGCATTCCAGCTTTACATTTCCAGGCCCACGCGGGGTCCTATAATTCTTCACCGCCACCAGTCCAACCAGACATGATGCCCAGGGAAGCTGCCCTGAACGGGAGAGCGCGTCATAATTTGCAGATTTCGGGTGCTTCAGTGGGCCAGAGGCCTCTTGGATGTTTCCTTGGGTTTCTTTGGGTGTCTCTTGAGGGTTTCTTAGAGGCATCCTGGGGCGTCTTTTGCTAGCTCTTGGGGGGCTTCTTGGAGCGTGTTGGGTGCCTCGGGGGGGGGCTCGCGGGGTTTTCTCCAAGAGTTTTTGGGCCGTCTTGGGGTCATCAGGGAGACGATCGACTGTAGAAATGGCGGGACCTACGCTGCGGGCTCACCTCAGACAAGCGCGCGGTGCGGTAAGCGCGCAGCACGCCTTGCCACCCTGAACCGCCCAGGCCCACCGCTAGCGAGCAGGTGGTGCCGCTGCTGGGCTCGGTAGCCCTCGGCGGGCGCACGCTGCACGAATCCCACAGGCTCCATGTCGTGCAGAAGTGCTGCCTGCACTCCTGCCGCCCATGCGGCAAGACGGCGGCGGAGGACCCGCGCCACCTCGCCGCGCCGTGCCCGGGCCTCACGCGCAGAGGCAGTGAAAACCTGCCTAAATCCGACCGCGGCCAAGTCACCCGCGCACGTGCGGGACGCGACGGCCTCGCTCCACATGTGAGGGCGGCTACCCACGGCATGGCCGCGGATGAATGGGCAGCCGCCGCAGCGCCCGCTGCTGTAGTGAGCGCTCCGTTATAAGCAGGCGCAACCTCTCAGCACACCGAACCCGCCCCAATTGTGCGTTAGATCTCTCCATGATCCGTTATCCTCCTCCTCCTCCTCCTCCTCCTCCTCCTCCTCATTTCTCCTCCTCCTCCTCCTCCTCCTCCTCCTCCTCCCCCTCCTCCTCCTCCTCCTCCCCCTCCTCCTCCCCCTCCCTCTCCCCCTCCCCCTCCCCCTCCTCCTCCTCCTCCCCCTCCCCCCTCCTCCTCCTCCTCCTCCTCCTCCTCCTCCTCCTCCTCCTCCTCCTCCTCCTCCATGATCATCACCACCACCACCGTATCCTCCTCATCTCTCCACTTGAGCACGACTTCGTGTCCATACCACCGTTCACACCACACCCTCCTCCTCTACCTCTCTGCGCGAGACTGGGCGCCCTCTGACTGCGCCCGAGGATGCAACGAAAACCAACCAAAATGACCCCCCCCCAGCCTACAGAAAAGCCCCCTTGGAAGCCTGTGAGCCTTTCTGGGGGCCCCCTTGCCTCTCGAGATGCCGCCCCCCCTCGACCCGCCGCCAGCCTCTCCAGAGCTCCGACGCCATGCTGTTCTCACGGCGCGGCCCCTCGGAGGTCTGGAGTCCAGACTTTTGCGGACGAATGCGACTCCGAGATGAGTTCGCGGGCCCTTGTTGCCTCATCTTGACCCCCAGGGTTCCGCTTTCAGTCCTTGGGGCTGCCAAGCAACAGTCCAGGACCAAAAAGATGATCCAGCGGAAGGCATAGAGCTCTGGATCCCGTTCCGTAGCCATCCTGGCTCAAGCCTCGACTTCTCTGACAACCGATGAACCGGTAGAGTTTTGAAGGGCGCTTCGAGCTGAAACGATGACCGCACACACTTACATATTTGCATGTGCACTCGTAACGCTGGGGACCCATGTGCAGGCGACGCAGTACCGATTGCCCGATTCCCAACCTGGACGACCTGCTACCCAATTCGTCCGAGGCTCACTTGACGGCCAGCGCGGCGTCAATCTCAACGGACGGCGGCTTGCAGTTGCTGCCGCTCGCGACCTCCACCTGCAGAGCGTTTCCGGTGAGCTGGCCGGGGAGGCTTCCGAGGAGGGGGCCAGTGCCCCGGCGCCCGAGCAGGAGCCCGGTGCCCAGCCCGACGGCCAGTCCGACACACCGCGCGGTCCGCCCACCCAGGCATCACCCAGCGCAGCTGCACACGTGCGGGCGCTGAGAGCTGCACGGAAGCTGCTCGTGCACAAGGTGAGCGCGGGCCGTTGCAGCGCGGATGGTTGCACATGGCCAGGTCGTTGGTCGCCAGCCGCCCGCTTTTTGGTCGAGGCGGATCCGTTTCACTTCGCGGAGGATCCTGGGGAGATTTTGCGTTCCATGTCCACCTCATTACTTCCTGCAGATAACGCGAGTTTCTATCTCGGGCAGGAGATTTGTGCGGGCATGAGATTGCCAGAGGGGTGCCAGTGTGATTTCGAGGCGTACGTTCAATTTTGGAACGCCGATCAGTGCACTGTTTACTCAAGGGGCTTACGCCATTCCGCCGACCCCCAGAGGAGTAACAACGTCCAGAGCGTTCGATAAGCTGAGTTGGAGCTGGAGTGGCTGTGTTGTTTTACGCCCACCAAGGAGAAGGATGCTGACGGAATGCACAGCCATAAGGGTGGTTGGTCCATGTATGTGAAAATTACCGCGTTGCCAATGGTTCTCGAACGGACGATGCGCAAGCATACATTGCCAACGTTATCGTCCACGCGGCTGGGACAGAACGCAATGATGTTGACAAGATATCCCCCCCTGGGGTGCAACACTGAAAGAAACACCTGTGTAGAAATGGCAGGTTGCCGAGAGGTGGGGCAAGATCTCGGGTTGGGCGGGATACAGGGTAGCACCAACAAGGGTCGGGGGCAGTTTGGATCAGGAGAGCGGACAGCAAGCCCAGGAGGAGGCCGCGATGCAGTGAGACGGGGGCAGGGCCGAGCAGGGGAGAGAGACTTCCGCGATGAGGCAGCGCGGAAACCAGAGGGCAAAGAGGGCGGGGTCGCCGCGGAGGAGCGCGACGCGAGAGGGAAGAGAGAGAGCGACGAGGCAAGAGAGACCGACGGCCCACGGAGAGGCGAGGGCTCCGGACCCAGAGATGCGTGGGATGGGGATCGAAAGGTCCACCGTTGCGCCCCAGTGAAGGGGGGAGGGGGCGGCCGGTGCCGCGGGATGTGGGCACGGAGGTCTCGCGAGGCCCGGCCTGCCTTGCGGTGGGTGGGGTTTTTTGTAGCCGGATGGGTTGGAAGAGCAAGCATGCCGGGGTAATGAGAAGGGCCCAGCATGAAGGGTCAAATGGCGAGGGGCGACGGCCCAGCATGAGGGGCCAACGCACGTGGGGCCAGAGCCCCATCGAACCAGGAGACATGCGTAATGCATAGGCGATCTCACCAGTAGGAGGTAGGAGCGCAACGGTCTGGACGTCGGAATTTCAGGTAGAGCGACAGGGGTGGCATGATTTATCCGCCCCATCGTGCCCCCATAAGTGGAGAGCAAAGTAGGGCCGAAATTGGGCACAACAAAATGTGGTTCGTTTTGTTTGTTCGGTTTCAGCTATAACAGCCGGTAAGGAGGCGAAGGGTGAGGCGAGCGACGGAACGAAACTTTCGATTGAGGCTATGGCCGAAAAACATGAGATCATGGCCAAATAGCTAACGTACGCAGGGCAGGTCGAGCATGCGGGTACCAGGTAGTCGAGAGGAAGGATGTCATGTGGAGGGGGACAATGGGGGGGGGCCAATGTTGCAGAGGGCAAGAGAATGGGGAGACGGAGAGGGAGAGAGAGAGAGAGAGAAACAA